CAGCCCGGCCCACGCCCAGCTTTGACCCACGCATCTCCCTTCTCTCTCAAATCCTAAGTTGAAGCTTGAACCTGAGGTAGTCGTCGCCTCTGCCGTCGTTTCTCCGGCCACTCCAACGTCGACGCCGAGTAGGTATGTCTGATGTCCCACGCATCTCCTTCCTCTCTTTCGTGTTCTTGATATTGCATTTTTTTAATTGAATTCGAATTTGTTCTACTTGTAGATCATGAATTCGTATTTCTTTTACTTATACTTCACGAACTCATATGTTTTTTGGGATTTATTTTGTTAAATTCGAAAGTTTTTGTTGAATTTTTTTATAGAAGTCTTATTCTTAGGGTTCATGAATTTGTTACTTTTTAAAAAAAAAAAAATTCTACTCTACTGAATTGGTTGTGCCTCAAATTGTATGTTTAATTATATGGACTTCACGATTTAGCATTTGAAGTCTCATCAGGAACCTTCTTTCTGGGCCATAGAGCATTAGGTTGATAACATTAGGCTTATGAGGCTTAACACTCTACTAGGGGCAGGGGCTAGTGCATTACCCTTGAGTGCTATGCACACACACACTGCAGTCCTCCAATGACTGGAGTAACAAAACCAAGCCAGCTACCACAGACCTCCAAGGACTTTTTTTTTTCTTTTCTTACTGACATGTTATATTGGCTTCAAGCTGAATCACCATCATAACACTTATTCATCTATCAATAATAGTCTCTCTGATTTTGCTGCCTGTTTTATGATCTCATTTTTCAAGGTTAGCAACTTATGCATGATGTAAATTCAAATAATACGAATCCATAGGAGTAACAACTTTTTGAATTTGCTGATATATTAGTTTAGGGATTTATTATTTTCATGTGACAGTATAGAGTAGCAAATAATGCATGTCCTTGGTTTAGCTCTTCCCCGTGTCACTATAGAGACATGATTGTATTTCAGGTACTTGCATATCCTTAAGTTGGTTTTATCTATAATCATTGCTGGCTTTCCCATGTTCTATTATTTGTTAAGTTGAGACTTCTATATGTCTTTTGTATAAATATGTAAACTTTTCAATGATATGGTGTTGTTGATGTTCTTTTGTACAGAAAATGGCTCGTATTGGTTCTTCTTTGAAAAGGAAGAGAAATTGGGACCACCTTCGTTTTATAATTACTATGATTAATTATGTTGTGTTGTTACATTTGTTGGTGTACTCGTTAAGAAAAACAATATACAATTCTCAACACCTTAAGTTAGATACACAAGAAGAAAATGAGATTACACAACTTGAATAGAATGATTAGAGAAAGTTACACGTTGTGTAGGAACTATCTTCGTATAAATCGATACACATTCGGTGTACTTTTAGAGATGGTTAGAGATATTGGTGGATTACATGAAACAAGAAACACATGTTTGGAAGAGATTGTTGTGGGGTTCTTATACACATTAGCTCACCATAAGAAAAATAGAATGATGGGTGCACATTTTTATAGAGGTAGTGAAACTATTAGTAGGCAATTTCATGCTTGTTTGTTAGCAATCTTGAAGTTACATGTTGTTCTTCTTAAGAAACCAACTCCAATACAAGAGGGCTGCGACGATGAAAGGTGGAAATATTTCAAGGTAAAATAAAATAAAACCAACACTATAATTTGATAAACAAACAAAAAGTTAGAAATTATTAGATAATTTAAAGTGACATTGTTTGTTTTGTAGAATTGCTTAGGTGCTCTTGATGGTACAATGATTCTAGTTAATGTTCCTTGTGAAGATCGATCCAAATATCGTACTAGAAAAGGAACTCTTGCTATGAATGTGTTAGGAGTATGCTCACCTGAAATGGAATTTACATATGTCTTACCTGGTTGGGAGGGATCGGCACATGATGGTCCTATTCTTCGAGATTCTATTTCTAGGCCTAATGGTTTGAAAGTTCCAAAAGGTAATTTGATTAACGTAGTGTACTTTATGTTAGATTGACTTAAAAAGAGAGTAGAATTGAATTGTTTTTTGTTTTATTTGTCAAGGTTGTTATTATTTATGTGATGGAGGATATACTAATGGAGAGGGATTTCTTGCAATATATAGAGGTCACCTTTATCATCTTAAAGAGTGGAATAGGGGGGCCAGACAACCATTAACCGCCGAAGAATACTTCAACTTAAGGCATGCAAAAGCTAGAATTGTGATTGAGAGATGCTTTGGGTTACTCAAGGGAAGATGGGGAATTCTTATAAGTCCTTTTTGGTTTAGTTTACAAACACATGGTCGCATTGTGGTTGTATGTGCCTTACTACATAACTTGGTAACAAGATACATGCTTTCATAATTTGATGATGATGATGACTTGTATGAGGAAAGTAGTGACAGTGATGGTGATGATGGTGATGACAGTGATGATGATGATATTGAGTATATAACCTCCACTGATGTAACTAATGCCTGGACTAATTTTCGAAATACAATGGCCCAAACTATGTTCAATGATTGGAGGGCTAGAAACCGCAGACTTACTTTGTGATACTTTTTATTTTTGTTAAAGTTTGTTTGTTATATTTGAACTTGAGACTTGTATGTTTATTTCAATGTACTGATTTTTAAATATTAAGTTATGGATGTTGTATTTGTACTAGGGGTGAGCAAAACCGGGTACCCGGTCAAAAACTAAGGACCCAGTCCCGGAACCGGTTAGTACCGGGTCTAAGATTTTGCAACTGGTCCCGGAACCGGTATCAACCGGGTCCCAAAATTTTAGACCCGGAACCGGAAACGGTGGGTACCGGTTCTAGAACCGGGTACCCGGTGTTATAGTTGACCAGCCATTAAAAAACTTGAAACCATAGAAAATTTCCAGAATATTGAGATGAACAAATTAAGATCTAAAATCTAACCAATACATGAATTATACACTACCAAATTAGTATGAGTCAAATAATCTATATAAATTATAATTTAATATATAATCGAGCTTCTTCTTCGGGTCACCGCCCTTAACTATCACCTCTTCTCTCATTCTCTTAACATTGACGTGTTCTTCGTTGATGTGGTGGTGGTTCCGACTTCTTCATATGCCATGAATGAGAATTTGTAAGAGAGAACAGGTTCATAATATGTTTTTCGTCAAAAAAAAAAACAAAAAATAAAAAAAAATAAGAATTTGATATAGATCTAAGAATATGGAAAAGGGTGGTTGATGAATTATAAGGTGATATTGGCTGGTGAAATTTGTGAAGATAGTGCATTTGGTGGGCGGTGAAGAGTAGTTTTAGGGTTTTAATAATAAGTACTCCTTATAAGATGAATGGGTTGTGAGTAAGTGGGCTGGTAATAACAAAAAAGGCCCAATATTTCATTTGTTTACTGAATTCCAAAATTTTAGATGACTTGAAGAAAAAATGGTAATTAATCTTATGAAAAGAAGGTTCCTTTAGTTGTTGAAACACTTTCTCCTCTATAAAAACCTTTTAAACAAGCAGAATTCTACATAGAAATCCAACTGTAGTTCCTGCACATGCATCACCATCTACATCTTTCTCCACAACTACAAATTTCAGAAAAGACCAGCTCAATAAAACAAGAAATAGATCTGAAAATCTGAAAAAACAAGGTAAACCAATATCATGATAACTAGATTAAAAAAAAAAAAAAAAAAAACACTATTGCAAAGATGCAAGGTGAATGTGATCAGAAGATGGGATTGTAGTGTAGTGTAGTATGATTTTTTTATTTAATCATTCAGTCAGGAAAAAAATTCAACAAAAAATTTTTGAACTTTGGGAAATATCTCCTCTAAAGCAATTTTTCCACTAATCCATCGCAAGTGGTAAAAGCCAAAAGATAGAACATTGAGTTATTGACTCTGTTTCTTCCAATGTTTTTAACTCTATCAGGGAGAATGCAAGCAGCAAACATAACATCATTAAAACGAAACCCCAGTGTACCCACCTCATGTACTGAGATCAACACCACAATGTTAACAGCCAAACAACAACTTCTATAAAAGCAATGACTGAACTAAACATGTACAGCAACTAAAAATGGTACCCACCAATTAATACTCAATAAGAATCTATTCAAACACCCAGAAATTGCAGAAAAAGACTATAAGTGCAGTCAATTTGTACCAATTCATTGATTTCAGCATATTAAACACTCGTAACACCCTCAGAAATTGAAGAAAATAAAAATTAAAATTAACATAAACACTCTAACTATCTCCAAAGAAAATGCAAGCAGCAATAAACAGTACCAGAGATCTACATATGCAAGATGAAACAAAAAGCAAACAAAGTGAGAAAAATACTTACGAAAGAGACAGTCGTTCGGTGGCTTGATGAGAACGAAAGAGAGGATGAGATTTTGAGTACCAAGAGAAAAATACTTACGAAAGAAGACCGAGAATCAGTGAATTGATGAGAACGAAAGAAGACAAGATGAGATTTTCAGAGGAGAACAGAGAAGATTGAGAATGAACAGAGAAGAACAAAACCCTAGCAAAAATGAATTCAATGAAATGAGGAGGCTTAGTGGCTGACAGAAACCCTAGCAGAAATGAATTGGATGAAATGGGCCTAATGTTGTATTGGACTGTGGATTGTTGGGTTTTTTAAAAAAAAAATAATTTTTTATAACTAAATCAGTACCGGTTCCGGGTACCCGGATTGTCTGGATCCGGGACCGGGTACCCGGAACTGGAATTGGTTTAAACCGGGTACCCAGTGGGTACCGGGTCCGAAATTTTAGGACCCGGTCCCGGAACCGGTTACAACCGGGTCCGACATTTTGGACCCGGTCCCGGAACCGGTGGGACCAGTTCCGGGTCCGGACCCGGCGGATCCTAACCGGTTCCGGGTCCGGTACCGGGTACCCTGGGTCTTTGCTCACCCCTAATTTGTACTCGATATTACTTTCTTTTAGATACTTTGTATTGATTATTTTCTTGGTTAATTTCATTTTTATACATGAAATGTTATCTTTGCATGTTATTATGGATCAAATGTTATAGAAGGATGGATGAAAGTAGTGCTAATGCTAGTGGAGGTGGAAGGGGGAGAAACAAGCGGTTTTGGACTGCTAAAGAAGATAGGGTTCTTGTATCAGCATTATCAGACCTAGCTGTTGACCCTCACTGGAGGTGTGACAATGGGTTTAGAAGTGGTTACATGGTTCGATTGGAGGAGGTTATCGGTAACGTTGTACCTGGATGTGGTTTGAAGGCTTCACCACACATAGATTCTCGACTGAAGACACTTGTAGCCAAGTTTAGAGCTATTTCTCAAATGTTAAACACGAGCGGATTTGTTTGGGATGATGAAAGAAAAATGGTTTCTATTGAAAGAGCTGTTTATGACGAGTACTGTAAGGTATGCCATCTTATTTAAAGTCATTTTAATAATGTTTGAGATACTTGATGATGTTATATTTGATTATTATGAGTTGTTTTGTCTTTGGCAGAGTCATCCAAGTTGCAAAAATTTATATGGAGTTTCCTTTCCGCACTTTCAAGAACTGCAGAATATATATGACAAAGACTATGCTACTGGTAAACCATCTGAAGGTTATGTTGAAGCAATTAACCATTTGGAAAAAGTTGCCCCTTCGCAGGTTATACTTGATTCAAGTGATGATGAGGGACCCCGTGATTCTGGCACTGTTAATTCTCCTCCCTCAAAAAAAATCAAGACTGAAAAAACTGCAAAAAAAAGGAGAAAAAGTGATGGTGCTGGTAGTTCGAACGAGTTGGCTAGCTTACAAACATTCATGAAAGATATGAATGTTCATCTTTCCACTATGGCTAATGTAATGGCGAGAACTAATGAACGTGAAAAAGATACATATGAAAGAGAGAAAAAATTAGTGCAGCAGAGTGAACAAGTGCTAGAAGAACTACTCTCTCTCAATTTAGAGGGTGTCACTCCTAAACAAGTGTTTGAAGTTGCCGAACATCTAGCTTCGAAACCACACAAGCTTATGATATTTTCAAAGTGTCCAGACGCTTTGAAAAGTAGTTATGTTAAGAGTCTTATTAGGGAAAACGATGATGCTTAAAACTTTTGTCGTGGTTACCTCGTTTGTGTTAAATTAGGTGTTATGAACTTTGGTATGTTTAAAACTTTTGTTGTTGTTTCGGAACAATATTTTGGTATGATTAAAAATGCCGTGGTCTCTGAACAATATTTTGGTATTATTTTAAAAAAAACATGATATGAAACAGGTCTATTTTGAAATATTACAGGAAAATATGGAAACTATATTTTATTTTATATGTTACAGGTAATTATGGAAAATATAAAAATAGCACTCGTGACTTTTTTTCATTTTACAGGTCTATTATTCCATATTACAAGAACATAAATTTTTTTTCTTACTTTTGTGCTTATTATATAAAAACAGGTTATTATATGAAAAAATAGAGAGAAATTTTAAAATTCTTGGTTTGATTCCCTAGTTTGAACCAAACAGCAGTAAAGGGAATCAATGAACAGTTCATTCCGTTTCCTGGGCACAACCAAACAACTTGCCCAGATTAGGGGAATTCCTATTCTTTCTCCTGCATTCCCATTCTGCATTTCCATTCTGCATTCCATTCCGATTCCCCTGTGCGAACCAAACGGCCCTTTAGTTGATCTAATTTTTATTTCTAATTGCCTAAAAAATATAAACATCCATTCTCATATGAGTTGATTTGATCTTTCTTTTTTTTTTTTTTTTTTTTTTTTTTTTTTTTTTTTGCTGATGGAAATGAGTTGATTTGATCTTATTTGTACATTAATGGAAAAAAAAGTATTAAACGAAATAATAATTTTGTATTCGTAATTATTCAAATTTTACTTGTAATACATTTTCCTTATAACATTGATGAAATAACTTATGTAACACCGAACTAATAACCCCTATGATGACTTGCCACAACCACATATAAGAATTTGTAAAAGAAATATAACGATTGAAAATCGCTAGTAAAATGATAAAGCTTGTTTTTTTAACATTATTTCTCTAATCTGAAAGAAGAATTAAGTTACTTGTACTTAATTAAGTTGAAAAATGATGGATTGCATCTTATCATTAAGTATTTTTTTTTCTTTTATTACTAAAGACTTGAAGGAATTCTATGTATTTATCTCTTTTTTGCTATTGCAGGTGTATGCTGTCAAGAAAACATGCTTATGAACCTTAAATAAGACTTGACCCATTGTTACATTCACAATGTTTAGCAGCGAGCTAGTGACTCACAATTACTTCTTAACTAGATTTAGCCCCGTGCCACGCACGATTTTTACAAAATTTTACAATGAATTATAATATTAATTCAAAATCTATCAAAAAAAAATCCTCATATTGTTTAATGAAACTAAAATAGTTTGAATCTTAATTTATACTTAGAATTGAACCTTGTTTCTGAATTAGCTCAAATAGCCTGGTGAACCAGGTGGAACACAAAAAAAAAAAAGTAAAAGATAATAGAATAATATTTTATACAATAAAAGATATGGAAAATATGTGAATATTTTATACAATTTGAATTATATGAGATTATGAGGTGGTGAATATTTTTTTCAAGAAAGTGAATCACAATTATATAAAGTAATGAATATTTTATTAGGAAGTGAAGGGAAAAGAACAACACCAAGAAATGACACGTGTCATTTCTGGTGTCTGTTTTAGTATTATGTTATTATTAATTAATGTATCACAATAGCCCGATTTAAACATGTTAATTAAGAACTCTTAACACCAAATAACTACACTTATCTTATAATATAGTTCATAATAAAAAGTACATTTTGCAAAACTCTTGAATTAACCTAAGATATCACAAACAATTAATTCTTGAAATGAAGCTTAATTCAAATAATTGCCACTCAACAAATCTCCATAGGCATAATCATAGGTTGATCCAAAATGGGCTTTCATATATTATATTATACCTACAAAACCATTAATAAAGTATGGTCCCACTAGGACAGGTTCATATAACAAGGTTAGGAAATTGAGTACAAACTATCACACCGAATACTTTTAAAGAGCAAATCCAACGGTTGTAGCTAGGAACATGTTTAAAGTTCCTATTAGCTACTATTTTGACCATTAAAGCTAAAAATTATTATTGATTTGGCCAAACTGCTTCATAATTTTTTTTATTTTTTTTAATATGGATGATTGATAATATTAATAAAATAAAATTTAAAAAAGCTAATTGAGAAAGTGAGGGTCTTCTTATAACAAGCTAATAGTTAACTATTGGGACACAAACTATATGGTATGGCAAGCTAATTTGGCAATTAGCTTACCATTAATGATACTCTAAGTGGCTAAAAATATTGTTTTAATTGTCTTTGATTTTCAAACAAACTTTTGCTCAAATAATAAAAATCATATCTTACACTAGTTTGAACACTCATTTGACAATTTTATAGGGATTTCATGGGTAAATATACTTAAATTATCAAACACAATGAATCAACAATTAGTCGATAAGGATTCGGATTAGGGGAGGAGCGGTTGGGGGGTTTGGGGGTGGAGGAAGGGTTTATAGGGTTTTTCGGGGGAGTAAGGAGTTTATAAGGTTTTTCGGGGGAAGGAGGGGGTTTCGGGGGTAAAGGAGGGGTTTCGAGGGATTTTTTTTTTTGGGGGGTGGGGGAGAGGATGTTGGTTGAGCATTTGAGGGGAAGGGGAGGGGCGGTAGGGGTGGGGGGAGGGGAGTCGGTGAGGTGGCTCGTTTTTTCGGTGGTGGGGGTAAGGCAAGAGGCTAGTGAATTGGTGGTGGTATGGTGGTGTGGTGTTTGATAAGGAAAGGGAATTAGAATACCTAGAGGGGTAGAGAATCAACTTGGAACACTTTGGGGTAACGAGGAGGGTGAAGGAAATGGGAACAAAGGCCTAACAAATAACATCAAAAGGAATAATGACAGTTGATTCCCTTACCATTTGATGAATACCCTCAACTAAACGACCCATAATAGTTTGCAAAATATCACTTTTCTTTTTCTAATAGAGTTAAATTCACATTTTCATATTAATTGAGGGAGAGAACACGACAGGAGAGGGGTTGGTAATCACTACCTTTTGACTTTTGAATTAGAGGTCCATCAACCCACTTTTTATTTTCTGCTTGCAAGACTATTCACATATATATACACAACGATGTTCATAGGTGTGGTAATTAAATTAATAGCTTCTTCACAAAACAAATTGTAAAACTTAGTTCACAATATCTCAAATTGTTACTTATATCAAAATGAACATTTCCAATAGTTCACACGTAAATTAATCAAACCTTTTTACTCATATTTTTGTATACCATACCTAAACTCTTTACACATAACTGGAACAAAATCATTTTCACTTTGAAAAGTAAATAAACTTTCATTATTTTAAAATAATTCAATTTAATAAAGTTCATTCAAAGACACAAACATAAACTCAATGATAAATCCGAAACATAGTCTCATTCAACACTCATAACGATCTAGTTAATAACGACACATTTTAAAAAGAGAATCACAAGCAAAAACCCATGTTTACTAAGGAATAACTTTGTGTACTGTACTATCAACTTATAATTTATATATTGTTAAAAAAACTTATATATTTTTATAAACTCATAAACTTAAACAAATAAAACTCGTTTGCTTACACCATGCAACTCCTTTTAAACAAGGATTACCACAAATGAATATTATGTAATTATTGATATAGTAAAAAAAAATTAGACAGTCTAAAATAAATTCACTACTTATAACTTTCACAAAACCTTTATAATGTAATAAGGTAAACAAGGATAGTAGCAATGTAGCATAATCTCAACCTTCATTATTGATTTTCAAAAATCATCAACTAACATGAATTTCTTGATCAACCTCCATGAACCTCAATAACAATAACATAATAATAACAAGAATTGACAACTCATTCCAACAAAACTAAAAACAAATTTAATCTAACAAACCTTAATAAAACAGTCCTTTGGTATAAAGATTGAAATATTACAAGACAATTTAACTAACAATTTTTAAGTAAAATAAATTCAAAGTATGGCGGTTCAAACCTAGTCTGTACAAACCCATCCCCAAACTTGACTCAATAATACCCGTACTAGGAAAATGAATAATTCGTGCCTTAAAAACCAATCGATTTGACGTGTCCAAAATCAAATTCGACCCAATACGACTGAACCGGTCAAACCCAATTCAACCCATATTGTAGAGGTGTCAAAACCTGATCTGACCCGACCAACCAAATCCGAAACCGACTCGACAAATACTTGATATAGATTTTGACTCGCATGAACACAATAATTTAATGTGACTCAAGTTTAAAATAGACCCGACTCGACTCAACTTGACTTCACCGAACCCGACTCAAACACCTGAATTGACAACCCATATGCAATTTGACCCGACTTGGAGACTATATGGACCCGATCCGGACCACACGACTTAAGAAACGAAGTGCGCAGGCCATAAAAAAGAAGAAAAAAAGCAAGCCCAAAACGAAATGAAGCCCAATTAATTAAAAGAGGGCAATAAAAATGAACCCAATAAACACAAAACCCTAGCTATTTAAGATTTGCCATCGACCTCCTCCTCTACTTCAGTCTTCTTCTCTCTCACAACTTCACCTCATTTCCGCAAAAACCCTAATTTGCTCCCTTTCTCTCTCTTCCGTCTTCTGCAACCATGGTAAGCTTCTCCTTCTTCCTCCTCTCTCCTCAATTTCTGCAAATTTATGTTCTTGTTGTTTTTCGGAATTCGAAGATCTGATTTTTTTTTATTTTGATTTTTGCTTTTGCGATGATAATGGTGGTGATTTTAGTCGAAGAGAAAGACTAAAGAGCCTAAGGTTGAGACCGTCACTCTTGGCCCTGCTGTTAGAGAGGGAGAGCACGTTTTTGGTGTTGCTCACATTTTCGCCTCTTTCAATGATACCTTCATTGTAAGTTTGTAAATTAACTGGTTTTTTTTGGTATAATTTGATTGTTTTTTGGATTGTGTTATTTATTGATTTTGATTTTTGTTGGAATTGCAGCATGTCACTGATTTGTCTGGCAGAGAAACCCTTGTTCGTATTACAGGTTAAATATTTGATTTTTCAGGGTTTTGTCAGTCAATGTTTAAGGGTTGTGACTTTTTGGTTCTTAATTTTGCATTTGAATGATTAGTGTTTACGATTTTGATCGAGTAATTTGATGTGGTTGCTTTGTTCTTCCTGTTTATTGAAGTATGATCAACTGTTTATATGTATGAAATGCATCATGTTTTGATTTTTGAGAACCTGATTTTAAGATAGTACTAATGTACCTGTCTAAAGAATCCCTTTTTTAACTTGTGCAGAGTATATTGTGAAAACGAAGTTTAATCTTTTATGTGGCAATTTGAGAAGTACTGAAATTTGAGGTTATTGCTACATGTTTTGATATAAAATTCTGATAAGCTTAGTTTAGGGTAAATGTAATCTCCTTGTAATCTTTTATTTGTAACATCATCTGATTGTAGTTGTCGTTGCATGATTTGTGTCCTTATAATTGACAAATAGTACTCAATTTCTTGCAACAACAGAACATGGTTTTGTAAATTTATCTTAGACTATCCTGGTATTTAAACAAGTATTGTTTAACCCTTAGACTAGCATTACGCCCTTACCGCGCGTAAGATAATCGCTCTTGGACATAGAGTTGCAAGTAAAATTATTCATGTCAAGTACAGAGTTTGTTTGCGTCCTTTAATTGCCATTCTTTTTTAATGTTGTCTGGTGGTTTTGCTTTAAATTGATTGTGTGCTCTGGATTGTTCAGGTGGAATGAAGGTCAAGGCTGACAGAGATGAATCTTCTCCTTATGCCGCTATGCTTGCAGCCCAAGATGTTTCACAACGATGCAAGGTATTATTCATTTTAATTTTAATGACTAGACAGGATAATTTACTCCCCATTTGAATGCTTGTTGATATTTTGGTTTTGTGCTCTGAATTACAGGAACTTGGCATCACTGCTCTCCACATTAAGCTCCGTGCTACTGGAGGAAACAAGACCAAGACTCCTGGACCTGGTGCTCAGTCTGCACTCAGAGCTCTTGCCCGTTCAGGCATGAAAATTGGCCGTATTGGTATGGTTCTTACACCTGATGTTTATTGTTTTTAATTAATAATACAACACATCTATTGTGCTGCCTTTTACTCTTAAATCGTAATGTACTCAATTTTAATCTAGATAAATAAATTTTTATGGAATTATGGAATGATTGAGCGTAATCGCTCTTTAATTTCCTGAAGTAGTAATTACGATTGTATTTTCTATAATCTTGCAGCCTAAATTATTGAATTTCTAGCTTATTTGTGAGATCTTTAGCCCTTAAACATTGGTTTTTGCTTGCGATTCTCTTTTGTTTGAGTGTGCTTAGAACCTCCATATAATTTTACGACCCTTGTACTGATGCACTTGTATCTGCATTACAGAGGATGTGACTCCCATCCCAACAGACAGTACCCGCAGAAAGGGAGGAAGAAGGGGAAGGAGGCTGTGAATTATCGTGTTCCAACACTGGTCATATGGTCTTTATTACTATGGCTTTGTTAGTCTAGTTGCTGTTGAAGCCTTTGCTTTTCATTTTTGAAGTCGAACTTCTTGTAGTTTGAGATTGCATTAAGCATTATTATGGAGTTTTGTTTAAGAGATGAAATTTTGATGGTGGTTGAATACATAACTTTACAGTTATTGGATCATATGATAGTGTGTTGCTACACTCTGTTGTCATTGGTTCTTTAGCATATTGACTTGATTTAACTGATTTATCTTTTTATTTTGTACTTCAGTCGTTCCTGATCAAAACTTCCAAATCTTGTTTACCATTACATGTTTACTAAGCTTCATAATTAGTGACCCATTATATCAAGAGTATTCTCAATATCTTGCTTATTATAATTACGTAGTAGATTAGTTTGGTTGTTAAATGGAAGGGTTTTGGCCTTCAAATCATATTGTGGTAGGCTGGTAGCTGCTACGCCTGCTAGGCATCTGAAAGGGAGCTAAAATCAACTGTGTTATATCAACGAGATTCTCAAAACAGGAAAAGATATTAATGGTAATGTTTATGAAGAAGATGGATTAGCAGTTCCAATGTATCATTAGCTGACATACTTTGATGTTTTGATCCTATTTCACAAAAAATGTTGCTATTAGTGTTTGGTCAAAGTGATGGCTAGCGAAGCTGTTTTTCATGTCTGTAAGCCTCAACTTTGGTAACTCATTCCCGTATTTTCAAGAGGTTTTTGCTTTTTTTTTTTTTTTTTTTTTTTTTTTTATTTTTTTTTTATTTTTTTGACTGATACTGGATCCTGCAAGAATAATTCTTATGAGTGAATTGAAACATTTTTAGACTTTCACTTGTGCTAGTTGTGTATGTTAAGTCCCAATTATGTTATTTTTGCAATTATGTTTTTTGTGCATATCAGGGCATTGGTATGCTGAGTTGTAACCTATGCATCTTAATAACGGGATGTGTTTTACCTTAATCCGCCGAATCAAGGAACTTGACATTTCTGCTATTCCAAAGAACCTTATAAGGCGCCCTCGACTATCTTTGGTTGTCCAACACCGAACATGGATCTTTGTAAAATCTAATTCTTTCATTTTTGCGTATGCTAGACTCCAAGGGTTTCATCTGGCTATACACGTTAACTCAGCTGATGACCGTGAGTCTGACTAGGGATCTGTTCTGTTCAGCTTAATTTCATTTCAGTTCAGTAAATCAGAACAGACCTTAAGTTGATATTGTTGTCCAATCCTTTAACACCTAATTCTTGACCCCCTCAGAGTAGTTTTTGGATGAAAATCAAAGGAGTAAGATACTACTCTACTCGATGTTCCTAATGTGGAATATCTTGATATCTTGTGATGAAGATGTTTTTATGTTGCTCTACTCCTCCTGAGTTATGAATGCTCTACTAAAAGCTCAATTTGAAGCCCTGTTCCAACCTGGTACATCTGATGATCTTGTTAGTCCTGTAATGTCCCGTGTTTGTTCCAATGATATGGTAAGTAGGGGTCTGACTCTTGATTCTTCTCATCCTCCGCTACTTTTAATTGTTTTTTAATTCAATTCATAAGACTGTTACGTTCTTCGATTGGCAAAACTTTTGCAAGTTATAAAGCTTGCCTGCCTGCCTTTCATAGTCATCTGCGTAAATTATGAAGACAATGTTGTTCTTCGATTGGCAAAACTTTTGCAAGTTTAAGGACCCAGACTGTTTAGTGATCGAAAGAGGCACGATGCCTTTCTGTTGATGTCAGAGTGATTATAGGTTTTTTCTTTTTCTTTTGTTTTTTTAAAACTAAATCCACTCACAGATCATTTACCCAAGTTTGATGTTCAGCAGTTCAGCCAACCTCGATCAGATTTAAGGTGGAAGAGCCGAACAGCAAAACAACATGTCCTATCTTCAAGGATGAAGAATAATATAGAAATGGAAGCTAGGCCCTACCTCTCTGTAGTTCAGGTGATCAGCTGTTAGTACCACATAATTTATCAGGATACAAACTTCTCATTCTTTACCAAAAGGATGTTGTTAACTGCGGAGGTGTGTTTTCACCGTGGTAGCACACATCTCAGTTTTGATGATCATCCTATATCTCAGAGTGTGCACTCTTTGAATCTCATTGATCCATTCCCTGGTCTCTAGGTGTTTGTTGATAATGTACTGCGACTATGTCACCCTGATAATGTGTGATTAGGGGTGTGCTATTTAGTTGATTGGCTGCATGGACCCCTGTAGGTGTTGTCACATACTACTTGGATCCTTACAGATTCCTCGTTAGTGTTTCGTAAACTCAGGGGTCTAATAAAGGTCCCATTCTGATAAGTTAGCGATTAATGTTCAACCTACAGAAATACACGATATGGATGTCATGTACGGAGTATGAAATATATATCCAGAGTATGAATAGAAATATTTGTAAATGGTTGAGTGGAAGAACAAAAGGTCTTCAAAACTTAGTAGTGCATGCATAATACAAACACAAATGCATAATATGCCTTCAACAAAATCTGTATTTGCGCGTTTTGCACAATACAATATCCTATCCAATACCCAACAAACATATAAGAGCTTCCTAAATTTTATGGAGCTGATAATTTTCCAAGCTAAATCTTAGATCACATCTAGTCCCAATGATTTAAACCTAACATCCTTTTTGAAAAAAAGTCTCAAATCTTACCAATTAGATCACCAAATTTATACCTACAGCATGTCAATTCGGGTAGATAAATGCTACTGAACAGAAATCGAATCGACTCATCAACACCAAAAATGCATAACTAATCGTAATTCTGGAAAATTTTCTGTAAGCTCTGAAGTACGTGAGTTTACAACAATGACGATGAAAACCAGCATGTTTTCATTTCTACTTTGTTTCGCATTGTTTTATCATAAAGTATTATCCGATAATCTTATTGATCAGCAGGATGTCAACTCAAACTCAAAGGTAACATATACTTCGTAATTATTCAGTAGTTGTTGTTAATTTAGTTAGCAGCAACTAGAGAGTATAACAAAAGTTTTTGAAGTTATTTGTAGTTTTGTATATTCAACCTTACTGTATTATTGGACTTGATATACAGGAAGCTTATCCCTTAAAGTTGAATTCAGCGAATCTGAATCTTGGAATGACCCCAAGTCCAGAATCAGCCTCAGGATGGCTTCATCGCAGTCTTAGTGAGAAGCAACGTCACCTTCATGGTCGTCGTCATCATGTCTACCATGAAGAAGATAAGGCTTCAGAGTATTTCCCAATGAAGGCAAATTTTTACCATCACCACCACCATCGCCATCATCATCATCACCACCATAAGAGGGCTCATCACCATCTCCATACCCCCGATGCTCATATTTTGTCAAAGACACTTGTAAAAGCTCGAGGTCCTTATGAAGATCACCATAGTAGACTTCACTATCATGTCTTGGACCCGATGGAGGCTGCTCAATTTCCAATACAGTTTGCAGTAGCGACTCCCCATCCCGATGAAAGTCATCGTCATGGAGATCATCTATATCACCATCACCACCATCACCATCATCAACATAAAAAGCCTCACCATAAACATTATTCCTAATTCCCACTGAGGCTCCTCAATCGAACAAATAACAATCAATACAATTGCACCATATTTAAAAGTTGTAAAGAGAAACAATGTACCTCAAGCATCTACAGCCATGCCCGGCAATATATGCATTCATCAATTCTGTTCCCATCATCCGAAAAGTATATTTATTAATGAAATGAATGTCGAATTTGTTTAATCAAATGCTAGAAATTTCTCTTAACCAGTCAATTTTACAATGCACAGCATAGAACCCACTAACAGCATTAATTAGATATTATTGCTGACAAATCAACGAAAAGCTTCATTACACATGGCAACTTAGAACTTGGTTTTGTAATTATTTTGTCTCATGCACACCTTTGCAGTCAATTGGAAAAGACTGGATGGGAGAAATTTTTTAAACCAGAATAGCTACCGATAAATTGTTGTAGAAGACACCAAGAACTTTCTTTATCCTCCATATAGCCTTATTTCAACGAAGCAATCCTGGGAGCAATAATCTCCAAGAGTCCCTTTGGATTATCTACGTGAACCCAATGCCCAGCATTAGGAAGAACATGAAGAGAAAATTTCCCCTCAGATCCATCTCTTTCCTTCCTAATAAGAGATTCAAGCCTCTGTATAACACATGGATCCCATCTATCACTGTTCTCAGCTTGTACAATTGAAATTTCCATTCCTCTTGGAGGGTTCTCTAGGAGAGGCCAGTAGTCCTTCTCCCTGAAATTAAATAAGACCCACAATTGTGCAAAAGGTCAATGGGCTGAGAAACTAAGCATATACTACAAATGCAAACAATATGGGCAAAAATGAAAAAAAAAAATGAGGCAGACCTGTAAGAATTGAACATCTGAAATGCACCTTCGAGGTTGAATGCCCATGTCTCATGGCCATTAGATTTCTTTAAATTGGTGCCTAGCCACTCCGACAATGACTTTGAAAACCCCAGCTTTATCATGTGTTCCACAAGCCACCTGCAGGAGATTATAACGCAATCCATGATGGTTATATAAGAAAAAAGATAAAATTTTGAGCACAAAGAGTAAAATAAGTGGTGCAACGTAAGAAAGTGGCGGATCAATTCTAGACACGACAAGACCTAAGCAGGATCTCTTGTTTCAACCAACCAGTAGCTCTTTACTGAGCTGATATTTGGTGCTTCAACTCCTTGTGCTCTTCAAACCTTATAACCAAATTTGCATTCTAATTGGGAGAATAGGGAGCAGAGAAAAAGTAAAGGTTTCTCACTTTCTCAGTATGAATGACTTGATTGTTCTAAAAGCTAAAGAGCTGAGTCAGATGTTTGGTTAGAATAAGCAGTATAATTCCTGGGATCCAATGTCAAACCCCCAGCTCTTACTTTGTCAGCGCAGCATTTCACTATGTTTGTCAGCCTCGTAAGATTCAACAGCCACCAACAAGTTTAGGAATCAAGATGAACAAGTGAAGTCTAATGATTATTAAAAGAGAGTAGCTCATTTGGTTTTTTACAAGTGATGTATTTTCGTGAGTCTAATGATGATATAACGACAATTATCTAATACAACAAAGTGAATAGACTTAAGAGGGTTAACTGGCCAAGGACATGAGCTAGTTCACATTAATAAAAAGTTAAAATATAAAAGATCTTGACAAGAAGAAAGTTTCAAGTGTCCTCACTTTCTAGAAGGGATTTGTGAAGGAAGACTTTGCAAGGTCTCCAATACTTTCTCTACTTCTCCACTACTGTCTTCAGGATTCCCGACTCCAGGAACCGAGTCCAGTACCCATAACTGTTCTGCATCATGTAAATATGGAAGCTAAAGCAACATACATTCATAAGTTGAAAAGTAAAGAGCAAGCCAGAAATGTGCAGCTAATATGATGGTCAAAAGATACCCAATCATCATATTGAAATACAATCAGAAAGAAACTGTATCAGAGAATGATCCAATATTTAAGTTCTACATCAGTATAGCATACAAGACAAAAGACATGATAACGACAAAGTCTAGTTTAAATTTTTTCAGGAGCACTATATCGTGGCCTATGAAAATACTCCCTCTTCCCCTATTTGTTTGCCCCATTTGACTGTTTATGGTTTTCAAGACACGTCTGAAAATGAATATCTCCAACTCTGTTTATGCAAAAAGTTTAAAAATGAGATATTCTAAAATAGACATTAAGAACAATCCAACAAGATCTCACATGAATATATTATTTTTTCTAGGATAGTAATGATTAGTAGTCAAAGTAATTAAAAGTTGACTGACAATGTTAATGGGACAAACAAATGGGGACATATAGAATACCGTTTATCACATAAGTCACGCAGCAAAATTGAAATCTATTAAGTCAAGAATTCTTTGAAATCACATACTACTATGTCACAATCAGGCATCAGCAGACAAGTGACCAGCAGCAGCTGATGTTCATCATTTTTACCCAGCAATACCACACAGCAAAAAACTACAGTATTTCGTATCACAGCAAACATTGTTCAAACTTCAAAGCTAATGCTACAAAGTATTTAGAATCAGATGTACTATAGAAGCAAGGGGTGCATAAAAACATTAATGCACAATGCATATATAATCTCACAAATGGATGACAAATTGACAATTCGAGAATTCTAGGTTATTAATTACAAAACTAATATGCAATTGTTTCAACACAAAAATCCAAGAACAACTCTTCATTTAAAAACATGGCGGTAACAAATTCATACCTGTTTTGGCAATGATATGGAATCACCATAATCTCCACTAGACCCACCCTGAGCAAACTGCAATGCAACCTTGCCACCCAAGGAATGCCCTATAACAACATCAGGCCAATCCCAACCTTGAGATTTCACTAGATTAGCCAAATCAGCAGCAGCATTGTCCAGGTCATGTGGTGGGCGAAGATCTTGCACCGCAGCTGAATTCCCATGATTTCTTAAGTCAACAAGCACCAATCTCCATTCTACAAAATGATAAAGCTACGATCATACAGTTCTTCACTTCTTTGCAATAAGTTGTATAGAGAACGAATGAGAATCAGGAATTTTGGACCATAGGATTTGTTGCATATCATTGCTTCACTACATACATATATTCCTTCCTTATCAAGAATGGACCTAACAACTTACAACAAAAGTCCAAACACAAAGCTGTCTAGAACTCTAGACTCAAAATCAGAGTTCGGAAATAGTATATCTTTTGTTTCCGAAATGAAAAGTAAGGCCTTATATTAATGAAAAAATAAAATCAGAAGATCCGATACAACCAAGCCAGAGATCCACACAGGGCCACAGTCTCACCAATCCTCATCAAAGAATCCAGACACCACCTATCAAGTGAGCCTAGTGTTTCGGGGTTTTCTGATGTCCTGCGGGAGAGTTACAATTCCGAGACTGGATCCGTGCGCCTGTACCTGCAAAACAAACGGATGCTCCGGATGATTGGAGATCCGCCTCCGACGGTCAAGTTAGTACTTGATTAAGGAGTAATTAATGCGGAAATTAAAGTGATTGGGTCTCTCTAGGTGAGAGTGTTTAATGTGTGTAATCTGCGTAATCCCCCTTAATGAGGATTAAGGGAGGTATTTATAACCTCGGGAAACGTGCCAATCCTAGGTTTAGGTTAACCTTGGGCTGATTGGGCTTCCCTCGGAAGTTGGGCCTAGGTGGCCGACTTCTTCATTAGGCATGGAGTATGCCACGTGTCATGACATAATAGGTCCAGGGTGGACGAATAAGCGTGTGCCACGTGGCAAGCCCTGAGAGGTCCAACTGGGGGACACTTGGCAGGACCTGATTGGCCCACGTGGCGCATTCCGATTGGTGGGAGCAAAATCCCCTAATCATTTGCCCCTCACAGGTGGCACGTGACTGGTCACGTGTTACCTGTGACAGGTGTCGCCCTGTAACAGGCGACGACCTGCTACAGGTGTCACTCGGCGAAAGGCCGAGAGATTCTCCCGCCCAAATTTTGAATTCCGGAAGTGACCCTTCGCCTTCTCACTTCGCCTATATAAGGGAGTGTTGCCCTCGGTCATTTTCACACTTGAGAACTTTGTGAGAGAACATTCGGACCCCTGAACTTGCTCTGACATTTTGGACCCTTTCTGCCTACCGCCTGCTCTGACAAGCCGACTGCAAAGGATTTTCAGAACTTCATCAATCGTCACTCGTTCAGGTAACCGTCGGTTCTCTTACTCTTAGTTTTCTCTTTACTTTATTCTTTTTTTGAAATGGCACCACGGAAGCACACGACACGACCTAGGTTAGCGATCAGCCGGTCACCGGGGACGGCTGAATCTAGGACTAGGAGTGCCGCCTGCCCTTTTCTGGACCCATCTTTGCCCTTTATACAAAGTCCGACTGTATCTGTGTCTATGCAGAACATGATGGCCGGATCAAAAAAGACGGCTAGGATCTCGAACTCAGACGGCTCCTCCCACCGGGTGCCGATTAGTGAAACATCTGACCAGGCACCAGATGTGGAAGTGAAACAAAGCGGCTTGAAAGCCAGCAGTTCTGAGGGAGGAGTCAAAGTGACCCCTTTCCATTTTACAGTTGACAATTCTACATTCTCTCCTGCTCCTTTTAAAGGAGAGGAGGCGGGCCCCTCTGGGAGAGGGGAGGAGTCGTCCTCTTCGGACTCGTCAGAGGACGAATCCGAGTCTAGCTCTTCTGGCCATGCTTCTCTGGACACAGAAGAGAAAAACAGTCGCCTACAAGAGGCGAGGCTTTCTCACGCAGTTGAGAAGGGGGACAATTGGGCGGAGCCATCCGCCTCTCACCGAGAGCAAAATACCCCCTACTACTGCACGGTACCTCGGGGCCGGATCACGGCCATGCAAGAAAAAGTGGGGAGCTTTATCGCAAACCACACAATGGGCCCCGGCTTTTTAGTGTTCGTGCCGGATCCAGAAGACACAGTCGTCTGGCCGGCTGGTACTAGTTATGATGGCGCCTGCTTTGGTTGCTACGAGGCGGCCATCAAGGCTGGGCTGCGCTTCCCACTACATCCGGCTGTTCAGCGGATCTTGGATGGGTATGAGTTGGGGTTATGGCAGTTAGCCCTGAACTCCTGGGTCAACGTACTCGGCTATGTGGCCGGGTGCGAACTGCACGGGGTGGCGCTGAACTTCGAGGCTTTCGCCCACATGAACTACCTCAGCCGAACCCCTAAGGCAGGCGGTACCGGCTGGTATCAATTGACGAGCCACAGGGGCTACCTCATGACAAGAGGTAAAGCAAACAAATGGAAGGACTGGCGGAGCACCTTCCTTATCATTGAGAGTTCAGACACAGAGCTGAACAAGCGCTTTCACAGGTGGAACAGGAATCCGCCCCTTCTTGCAGGCGGCCGCAGCATGCCGCCTGTTCCCCCAAGGCTAAGAAAGAGATCCTAGATAAAGGACTCTTCAAAGTAGAGTCGAAGGTGAACTCTACTTCAGGAGTACGAGAGCAAGTACCCCTGCACTGCGTCCCGAGCTTCAAATGGCTCTACGACGAGTACTTTTTGGCTGCCTGTGGCCTCAGCAGTCGGTGTTCAAGAGGTAGCCGGCCTGTCGAATACTCTGTTGTTCCATGCATTTCTGTTATGACTTTTATTAACTTTGCTATTTGTTTTTGCAGCGGACGCCATGAGCAAAATTACCGCCTCCAAGACTGAGACGGCCATGTTGCGGGCCTCCATCATGCAACAGTCTTCAACCGACTCCCCCAACAAAGGGGCACCCTTGGTGGGCTTCGAACCTTTCACTCTCTTTTTGGAGTTGTGTTTATGCATATACTGACTCTTTTCTTCTTTTTTAGACGGGCGCTCCAAGAGCTTCTTCTTCCCAACAGCCGGACTCCAAGGCCCGGAGGACGACTGTTGCGAGCTCTCCTGGTTCTGCCAGGAAACAAGCGGCCACTCCTTCCAAAACTCCAATTGGGCCGCCTAGAAGTATGAAGTTGTCCTTGTAAATTTTAGACTTCCTCCCTTCTTTACTAGGTCTAATCCGTTTGTCTATGCTTAATGCAGCCGGCCCTCAGGAGCCTGACTTGGTCGAGGTGGCCAAGTCTATGATCAAGGCCGTTCCTCCAGCTAAAAGGGAGGCGGTCAGGGGTGTCGGCACCCTTGACCTAGACGGGATTGCAGGAGTCCTTGCTGAGGTATACTTAACATATTTTTGAGTATTTGAATTCCAGGACGCCTCTTTTTTTTTTTTTTTTTGGAAACTGACGCCTGTTCCCCTTTTTACTTAGGCCCTGCTCCGAGTAAACGGCCTCCGTAAGCCGCTTGACAGGAAGAACAAAGAGGTAAAGGCTGCAAAAGCTATGACCGCCTCTGACTGTGATAAGACAATGTTTCAAATTGCCCAAAATGAGGTTCTGACAATTGATATTCTTTATTATCAGGCGCAGGCTACCGCCGCTATCCGGGCTCAGTTAGAGGCGGCCCAGAAGAGGAATAGCGAGCTGGAGGCGACCATCAACAATCTCAAGGCCGAGCTGAGACCTCTTCGCCAAAAGATGTCCTCATACGACACCTTGGAGAAATCCTTGGCGGCTGTTAAGGAACGCCTGGTGACCCAGGAGAAGAGTCTTACTCAGGAGCTCTCGGAAAAGGCCGAGCAAGAAAAGAAAGAGCTGGTCCGGGAGATGATGGAAGACTCTGCTCAAATCCAGCGCATGACTTGGGGCCGCCTCTTCCCCAATGCCGACTTTGCCTCCTGGGAAAAAACGTACCGCCAGTGTTCTGATAGATATAATCAAGAGATCCTGGCGGCTGCTGAGGAAGAGGCGTTGGAGGAGGAGGAGCAGCCGGTAGTGGCGCTTGTGCCGCTTGGGGGTAATGCATCGAAGAAGGATGCAGCTGAAGCCGAGTCCAACAAAAAGAGTGCTGACCAGGCGGCAGCTGCTAATATTGAAGATCTGCCCCCTTCTTAAGCTTTATGTCTTCTTTCCACGGCCTGCGTGCCGTTTGTTTGTATTTACCCGGCCAGGGGGCCGGGGCTTTGAATATTTGGCCGGTCTTTAATGACCGGCTTCCTTTTAATGAATTTTTTTTTTTTGCTTCAAATTTGTTTAAGTATTGAATATTCTGATATCCAATTGCACACTATACCGACTGTTTTACATGGCCGATAGTTGCAGACAGGTACGGATAGTTAGTCACGCCGCCTATGCCCCTGGACGACTGGTTGTCTGTTTCCAGGCTAGGCGATCAGTCGGCCATTTATCCAATCGGTATTCGACCCATTTTAAAGACTGGATCCCCTTTAGGCAGGCGGTCCTGTCATTTGTAAAATTAACCAAGTAGGAAAGTGGTTTCCTACCTGTCATGTTTTTAGGCTAGAGACTTTAGGCAATCTAGGCCGACTGTTCCCCGCCACATTTAATCTAGTGTGAACAGGTGCTGTATGAACACCTTTTTAGTTTCATACTAAATTTTTAAGGAGTGACCAAGTAAATATGATTATTACCTAGTTGCCGAGTGACTGAGTAGTAGAGGTTTCAAGCGGTGGGTACCGGTTGCTCCCCTTTATTCGCCAATGTTTGTTGGCTATCAACTCATAAGATACCGACTGTTCTTATTCCAAGTAGTCCAGTCGGTTGGTTGACACGGATGGTTACTGCGAACACTTGTTTGACCTGATTAGTCAGTTAAGTGAGAGGTATCCTTGTCCGGGAAACAGCTACGTGGTTTTCTTGTTTAGACAGTCGTATAGGTGCCGTGTAATGATTTTATAGAACAATGTTCCACCCAAAAGGGAGCTGCTATCTGCAACGAATTTCATCCGGATGGATGCCGTCGGACGCCTGCTATAACGTTGGGACAGGTCGAATTGAATTTTTATATTTTGATCAGTTGGCTTGACGCCTGGTCTGATCATTTTAGCCATGAGCCTTTGATAGTTCTTGGTGAACTGTATTATGGGAGAGTAGCCGGTTGAGTGAAACAAGCGGCGTGCCCCTCTTAAGTAAGAATAAAAATTAAACATGGAGAGTAGCCGACTGTTTGTCAGTAGGCATGCCCCTCTTAGTACAAAATTGAATGAAACAACAAACTTTTATTAAGTAGCCCTTGACTATTTACATCATTCAAAAGAAATATTTCTTAAGATTATCTACATTCCAAGTTCGAGGCAACGGTTGGCCGTCTGGTGTTTCCAGACGGTAGGTACCGTCCCTGACCTCTTCACAGATTCGGTAGGGTCCTTCCCAGTTGGGAGTTAGTTTGCCAGACTCATTAGCCTTACCAACTGCTTCCATTTTTCTAAGTACAAAGTCCCCCACTTTGTGTGGACGCCTGTGTACTTTTTTGTTGTATGATCTAGTCATTCTCAGGCGGTAAATTTCATGGCGCAAGACAGCATTGCCCCTCCTTTCAGGGAGTGAGTCTAATGCCAGGCGCATGGCTTCCCAATTTGCCTCTTCGTCATATAGCATTACTCGAAGAGTCGGCTCGTAGTGTTCTATTGGAAGAACAGCTTCCGCACCATAAGTTAGGAGGAATGGAGTTTCTCTAGTCGCCCCTTTTTCAGTCGTCCTAATGGCCCAGAGAACATGTGGTAATTCATCCGCCCATAGGCCGCCTGCTCGTTCAATCTTTTTCTTGAGATCGTCTGAGATGATTTTATTAAAGGCTTCTACTGGCCGTTTGCTTGTGGACGACCGACAGATGCAAAGTAGTGTGCAATTCCTTGGTCACCCAACCAGCTTTTGAGAACAGGCGTCTCAAATTGGGGACCATTATCAAAAACCATAGACATGGGAACCCCGAACCGAGTGATGACATTTTTCCAAATGAATGAAATTACATCCTTCGTCTTGATTCCCTTTACAGCCTCCGCCTCTACCCATTTAGTGAAGTAGTCGACTGCAACAAGTATGTACCTCCTTCCGCCTGTAGCAGGCGTATATGGACCCAGAATATCCATGCCCCACTTAGCAAACGGTAGTGGGCTATGAATGGTAGTGAGGTCAGTAGCCGGACGGTGAATTAGCTTGCCAAACCTTTGGCACTTGTCACATTTTTTCACCATCTCCATTGCATCTGCTTCTAAAGTAGGCCAAAAGTAGCCCTGCCGCCTTGCCCGTTGAGCAAACGTCCTACCGCCTATATGGGAAGCACAGTAACCAGAGTGAAGATCGTCTAGTATCTCTCGTCCTAGCCGGATGTATGCAATCAGTCTGATATTTTAGTTTCGACGGATATTTGCTACTGATGAGATCTGAGGAGCTTCCGGTATCTATGAGGATTCGGCCAATTCTCTGGTTGGCCACTTTACATTCAATAACGATAGGGTCGTCATGCGGCCCTCTTACCCCTTCTAGATCTTCTTCAGTGATGACAATCTCAGGAAATGAATATTTGGAGGGCCGTTCTTGGTGAACGGAATTTACATCTAGCCGTCTGATATTGTCTTTGTTGCCCCTAATAGTGGGGCCGCCTCCTGAGAAGCCGCCTGCAATGGTGTAGACGACTGCATCATCTGTATCGGAGCTGTCGGCCTGTTGATTCTTTTTGGCCGACTGCTTTTTCGAGGAAGTGTTCCCCGTAGATTTCTTGACATAAGTGTCAAGATCACCTTGCTTAGCCAAGGCGGTCCAGATACCGCATGAGACTGATGCATTCATTGGTGTGATGACCAACATCTTCATGATAATCACAGAATTTTTTTTGGTTCCGGTTGTTTGCAGAACCCTTCATGGGGACCGGCTTCTCAATTGAGATCCGTCCCTTGATTTCCTTTAGGATAAATTGGCTATCCTTGTTAAACGCATACTTTGGGGAGTATGGTTTGAATTCTTTTTTCTTCTTCTGGCCGGCTGTTTAGAGGAATCAGCCGCCTAGACCTCTTTTCTCTTCTCATCTTTGTTTGACGACTGTTTCTGTCGTCCTTCTCTTTTGTCGGACCTTTTCCCGTCTGACTGTTTTACCGTACTACAAAGATCAGTCGCCTGTATATAGGCTTCCGCTTCAATCAAGGCCTCTTGAAGAGTCGCCACCCTCTTTCGGACCAAATCAAATTTGAAGGTCGACCCGTCTTTGAGACCTCTGAAAAAGTCAGTATAGGCTACTTCATCCGGTAACCCTTGAATCTGTATTCTCATCAGGTTAAACCGCCTAATGTAAGAACGAAGCCCCTCCTTCTCGCCCTGCTGAATCGTTCCTAAATCAAGGGTCGTCTTCTTCGCAGGGATGTTCATGGCGAAGTTGGAGGTGAATAAGTAAGCAAGCGTCCTGAAGTTATTTACACAACTAGTCGGCAGGTTGCCGAACCATTGTTGTGCGATTCCTTTGAGAGTCGCTGGGAAACACTTGCACCAAGTGAGATCATCAACCCCTTGAAGGTACATCAGGTTGGTGAATGCCATCAGATGGTCTTCTGGGTTAGTAGTGCCGTCATAGGCGCCTACTAATACATTTTTCACTTTGGCCGGCTGAGCGGCTTCAGTAATTTCCTTGGAGAAGGCCGACGGTTGTTCGCCAAGTCTAAGCAACCGTAGCTGCCAATCCATAGGTTGGACATTTTTGCTGCATGTCCACCAAACGGAGGTGGCTGCAAAAAATACTGTTGTTGCGGTACAAACGGTAAGTTTGGTACCGCCTGGTCGCTATGAAAGCCGGACTGACGGGAGGTGCCGCCTGACTGACTCTCATGATACGACTGAGTATGCCTCATCGAGGTATTGCGCAGACTGTCTTGGAAGTTTGAAGTAGAGGCCGACTCTGACAATCGGTCACTCTTCTTCTGCTCTAGCAGTAGCCGAGCATCTGTGTATGTTTTCCTCGACCCGTCCGCCTGAATATGACAAACAAGTTTCCTCTTTCCTGGAGTAGGAAAACGGTATTTTGTGAAATCAAGGGCAGGCGGCTCCCACTTCCTAGATTTAGGATGAGGGGTCGCCTCTCGCCCTTGAACTGGCTTCCTCTTCCGTGAAGTGGAGGGTTTCTTAGCCGACTGCTCCTTGTCCGCAGGCGGCTTCTTGTTGATCAAATCTTGAATTTCTCCCTTGAGTCCCTCATGAAGGTCATGAGTTCGTTCCTTGTGATGGGAGCAGATCCATCAGTCGGCTGCTGCCGAACAGGCGATGCGCCTGCTGGCTCACTTCCAGTTTGAAGATGTTCCCGTTCCCTCCTTTCGGTATGACGGGTACGTCGGGCCCTTAGGGTCCTGTCTGAAGCTGTGTGAGCTTCAACCTCAAATTCATTCTCAGTATCGTGGTCCGACTGAACTAGAGGGTCGTCCAGGGGACGTCTCTCTTCAGGAGCCGGTACAAACGTGGATGCCATCTCAGAAGTACTCTCCCTACAGACGGCGCCAAAAATGTTTCGGGGTTTTCTGATGTCCTGCGGGAGAGTTACAATTCCGAGACTGGATCCGTGCGCCTGTACCTGCAAAACAAACGGATGCTCCGGATGATTGGAGATCCGCCTCCGACGGTCAAGTTAGTACTTGATTAAGGAGTAATTAATGCGGAAATTAAAGTGATTGGGTCTATCTAGGTGAGAGTGTTTAATGTGTGTAATCTGCGTAATCCCCCTTAATGAGGATTAAGGGAGGTATTTATAACCTCGGGAAACGTGCCAATCCTAGGTTTAGGTTAACCTTGGGCTGATTGGGCTTCCCTCGGAAGTTGGGCCTAGGTGGCCGACTTCTTCATTAGGCATGGAGTATGCCACGTGTCATGACATAATAGGTCCAGGGTGGACGAATAAGCGTGTGCCACGTGGCAAGCCCTGAGAGGTCCAACTGGGGGACACTTGGCAGGACCTGATTGGCCCACGTGGCGCATTCCGATTGGTGGGAGCAAAATCCCCTAATCACCTAGCATTACCTAATTCGTTGGTTGAAATTGAGTGCCGGAAGGCAACACTACCTATATTTTTAAATTAGCCCAAAAGCGTACTACTAGGAGTCCTGGACATACCAAATAATGTAATTTTTTTCTTCTTCAGATTGCAGTTTGTTAAAGGATAAACGAATCAGGTAGCACCAAGCAAGCCGGACCGATAAGAAAACAATGCCATAGGAAGGGTATGACAATGACTCACAAACCCGAGCCATGATTTACACACTAAGTACTAATTCATAATTTTCAATGTTACTCTATCAACCAGCCTTTTCAATTACGAAAAATGTCATTGTTATATGCACTATTCACCACCATACAACAATTATCTTTATACCATCCCTCCAACTGAAAATTGAGCGTCTACTATAATTCAATAATACCAAAAAAAAAAAAAAAAAATACAGATACAATCATCTAACTAAAATTGAGCGTCTATTATAAAATTGGCTTAAAACGGCTTAACAAATCATTAAAAAATTACCAACCATAAAATAATCCAAACAAAACTAGAAAAATTACAGATTTTAGAATCCAAATTGCAACTTTTCTCTGTTGAACAAAATTGAATCACAAAATTAGCTAAAAGAATTGCAAAAAATCAAAGAAAGAGAAGGAATTTACCAGAGGAGGAATTAGTAGAGAGATAAGAAGAAAGATTGCGAGCAAATGATCGCCAATTTCTTGCGGAACCCAAAAGGCCATGAAGAATGAATGCAGTACAATCAGACGGCTTATCAATTGCATTCGAAGATCTTACTTCATCAAATGCTAGGGTTTCCAACAATCTCCTACTTTTGCATGATATTAGCCCTAAATTGAACCCTAGAATGTTTGACCGAGTTACCAACTGAGTAAATCCGAGTTTGTTTCGAATCGTTCTCGCCATTTTTCCCGGGAGCCTATAGGTGAGGTGGTGGCTGTTCTATATTGCTTAGTTAATTAAGTTTAGTTTTCTTCAGTTTGGTTGGTTTTTTACGGTGTGTTGTTTTGGGTCTTTGACTCTTTGGTTGTTTTTTGGTTGTTGAGCCTTGAATGTGGCTGGGTTTGTAATTAGTTGGAGTGGGTGGTTGACCCTATAGGTGTTCTGTGCGGTTTATCGGGTTGTTAAGTAGATGGATTTGTGTCCTGCTTTTGCTGAGTTCCATCTTCCGGCTAAGTTTAATGACAAGCATGTTGTTCGTATCCTTGATTTGTTGGCTTGTCCCGATGATATTTTAGTGTTCTGGTAATTCCTTATTCGGGAACGCAAGTTTCAGCTTGCTTTTTCCAAGTATGATTTAGCGAGTAAAGTGTTATGTATTAGTTTGCCTTCGTCCCAAGAGGGGTTTACGGTATATTGGGGACTTTGTTTTTTGGCAAAATATTTAGAAACCCTTACTGATCAACTTGAAAAGGTAGAATACACATATCTATCAAGAGAAGAGAACCAATTCGTGGATGCCTTGGCAAGACTAGCCTCAATGGTTAGGATTCCTTAGGAAATCGAGTAAACGCCTTTAACTATAGAGAAAAAGCATAAACTTGCTTACATTCAAGCTATTGGGGATGAAAGAGTAACCCAAGAAGAAGAAGAAGAAGAACCTTGGTATACAGACATCCTCAACTATGTCACCAAAGGGGAATATCCACCTAATGCTGACAAAAGTGCGAAACATGCCTTAAGACTTTTGGCATCACAATTCGTGCTCATAAACGACGAATTACATAAAAGAGTACTTAAAGGAAGGGCTCTCCTATGTGTAGGCAAAAAGGAAGCTCAAAGAGTAATGAGAATAATTCACGAAGGAGCATGTGGAACACACATGAATGGCAATTGCTAGTCCAAAAAGTAATGCGCCAAGGATATTACTAGACTACCATGAATAGAGATTGCCATCAATATGTGAAAAGATGTCCAAAATGCCAAATATATGCGAACTTACAGCACGTTCCACTATAACACCCTAGAAATTCCCTTCCTTTAAAATACCTGTTTTTCCCTTTTTAAAATACGAAGTAGGAAAATCTAAGACATTACCGCCACCGTGAAAACGGCTAAGGCAAATATCAAAGACTCACAGCGGAAGACTATCTTTTGAAATCACTTAAAACAAGTCAACTTAAAAAGTAAAACCAAAAGAAAGTATAGTCAAACAAAGTCAACCTACAACTTGGAACCCTTGTAGGCCCTTAAAACCAAACAATATTAGAACTTTTACGTTAGTCTAATGAGCACATTGAAATAAATAATATTCACAGCAAATAAAACACATCATATTCCTATGAGAACTAAGCTGGTCTTCACTCATGCCCATTATGTAAATGCTTCATCACCTAAAAAGCTTATCTCTACTTGTCCCCACTACTCGCCATTAGAAATGGGTCGTCGTAGGGCCAAGGTAAAGACAAGGCCAAACAAACATACAAACACACAATCAGCAATGTTGAGTACATAAGCGTAATAAAAACACACTAACGTGCTATCATCTTATCAACACACAACTTACCGTGTTGCACCTGTAAACAAGCATACAAGACACTCAACACCTAACTAGACAAATACCAATGTCCAATTAATTTTGATTACGCATCGAACGAGTTTCCCCCTAACCTGCCCCAATAAAGGGGTACTAACACAGGAGCTAACCGTTCCAGTATAAAATAAACCACTCGTAAGTGGCGGAATTCCTACGCATAATAAAAAGGAAAATACAGTGTCCTATACTCCTAGTAGAAGTTATGATCAAATATAAAGTCGCATAACCCCCCCCCCCCATATGTTCATACTCAAGGTATATACGTTCTAAGAGTTTTGGTGCGTAATTTCTTTCACTTTACGTTAATTACATATTATTAGACTTAGTGATGACTCACAAAATATAACACAATCAAACATTATAACTCATTCAAGCAATCAAACATACCAATTTAATTCTTGAATAATTAGTGACCACATAAATTTAATGTTGAACCCTTTTTAAACTACCTCGGTGTTAAATAACACCTTAAGTGCATAAAGCACCTCAAATCCTACCCTCGGTGTTAGAAACACCTTAAGTGCACTTAGGCACCAAAATATAAGTTAATCCTCGTGTACATAGACACTTAAATTGCTCCTTCCTCATGCTTATAACATCAATAAAAATTATATGAACCATAATAAAATTCCCTTTTCATATTCTCAACCAAATTAAACATTTAGTTTAATTAAACATGCTCTCTAACATGCCAATAATAAAAGTGTGGTTCATAGTCAACATGCCAATACAATTAATTCCAATCACCAATTCACCATAAATAATTCATACATCACAAATCATTTACCAACATCAATTCAATCAACAAATTCCAACCAACACCTATCATGATACTACTTGGAATTAATTTATCAAAACCTAGCAAGCTTCTACATATTCAAATAATTACCAAGTACGCGAACGTATCTTGAATATGATCTCAAAATCGCCACGACTAAATAAAATCACTCACTTGAAAGTCTCCAACAAACCAAAATTACAAAGAAGTATTAATACCTCTTCCACACAAATTTCCAGCAATATATACACTCTTTAAATCACTCATAAACTCTCTAAAATAATCTGAAATTTAATTTAAAATCCTTACTTTTATTCCTAATTAATGGGTAATTAAAAATCTTTTCAAGAAACCTAATTATAACTACTATATAAAAATTCCAGCATTATTAAATCTTATAAACTTGCTGTAATTTAGTTTAAAAATATTAATTTCAATAGTTTTAATCAACCACAATAAAATTCCATCAAAAACATTAATTTAGAAACCTAGGGTTTTCAATTTGGTGCTTTTTAATTAAAAACCAAATCTGAAATTTTATATACAAAATACTTATCATCAAGTATCGTAAAATCATCACAAAACCCAAAAACAATAATTAGATTTAGGGTAGATTTAATTAGAATCAAAAGAATATTTTTTCTTTTGAAAAGGGTGCACGAACCACCATGGCTGAGCGTCTGTCGCGCGCTCGCCCGCCTGGTGGCCCCCGCTGCTGGGGTGCGTTGGTGGTGGTGGCCGCCGGCCATTGGTGGCATGTGGTGGTGGCCGGCCGCTGTGGGGTGTGTGTGGGTGGTGATTGAAACAAAATAAAATTAAAGGGGAAGGGGAAAAATTAAGGGGAAAAGAAAATAAGAGGAGAGAGAGTTTACTTTTGGGTGCACTCACCCTAGGCATATGATGGGTATTCATAGTCTCTCTCACCACTCCTACTTAAATATTCTTTATTATTCTTAATGATCCCTTTCCTAGTCAAACTAGTATTTTGACTTTCTTTAAAAACTCATTAACTTTAAAAGTTTCCTTTTATAAAATAATATGCCCTAATATTTTTAAATCATGAAATAAAATATTTTCAAGATTATTAAATAATTAAAAATAGACTTTCTAATTAAAATATCTATTTGAATTATTCAAAAACACCATAAATAATTCATTTTGAATGATTTAAAATACGGGGTATTACATCCACCGTCTCTTCTTTACACCTATACATCTCAATGGTCGTTCTCAACTTGGGGAATAGATATCATTGGGAAAATCACTCCCCCTGGAACAGGAGGTCATGAATACATTCTTGTCGCCATTGATTACTTCACCAAACGGGTCAAGGCAGCATTTTATGCAAAAATCACCGCAAAGCATGTAGCACTCTTTATCGAAGAAACATCATATGTAGATATGGAGTCCTACATGAAATGATAAGTGACAATGGAACTCACTTTCAAGCAGAATGTGAAGATCTACTTCAAAAGTATGGAATTCAACATCACCATTCCTCTTCATGTAGGCCTCAAGCAAATGGTGTAGTCGAAGCAGCCAATAAGAATTTAAAAATGATAATAAAAAATATGACAGAAAATTACAAGGATTGGCCTGACAAACTCCAATTTGCTCTTTGGGGTTATCACACGTCGATTTTCTCATCCACAGGAAATACGCCATTCTCCCTAGTCTATGGAATGGACGCCGTACAACCTGTAGAACTGGAAATACCTTCCTTACGCATAGCATTGGAAAGTAAACTTGATGAGGTCGAATGGACAAGAGCAAGGTATGAAGAGCTAATTCTACTCGATGAGAAACGACTAGAAGCTTCACATCATACCCAATGCTACCAAATTCGCATGGCTAGATACTTTAATAAGAAGGTCAAGACAAGAAACATCAAAGTAGGAGACTTGGTGTTAAAAGCACTTAGAAAGAATGTTCTTGGTCCAAGAGGCAAGTTTAGGCCTAATTGGTCTGGACCGTACATTGTCAAAACTATACTATCTGGAGGAGCCGCTAAGTTAACGGATATGGATGGGATCGAATTTTCGAACATGACAAATCTTGACCAACTTAAGAAGTTCTACCCATGATTAAATTGAGTTCTATACTCAAGAGAGCTACGTTTGGCCTGATTCCTTAGCAAGGGTACGTAGGCAACCCTTTACAGGGTGTGACCACTTTAATCGTTCAAAATCTCGCATTTTTACGACAACACGTCAACTCAGCATCGCAAAAAAATCAAGCGTCGCACCAGATCAAAAAACACCGCTGCGATGATGCCATCGCGCCGCGATGGGAATATCGCGCCATGATGGAGTCGGGTTTTTGCTGCTTTGAAATTTCGAATAACTGGAATAGTTTCAGCTAATTTCGAGAATTTTTCCACTTCCGTACTAGAATTATTTTCAAATTGTTTTCATTGCTTTAATAAAAGTTAAAAATTGCATTGATAAAAGTTACATTATTGATGAAATAAAAGCTTGAAATTAAAATTAACTTGAAAATAAAATATTGTCTAATAAATTGAAAGTAAAGTAATGCTCTAATCTGTCTTCTCCTTCCTAGCCCTCTTCCGATTCTTGTCGGTATCCTCTTCATCTCCTAGCTCCTTTACCAGTAGGGAACCATTGGATGATCTAACCAAAACCTTACAGGAAATAGTTTCTCCTTTAGCAAAAACACCAACTTTCTTTTCAACCCATGCCTTCTTTTCCTTAGGGCCAGCTTTCCTTTTCCCTTTGTCCTTCACAAAACTTCTTAGGCATGATAGGAGTCTTGAATTCAACTTTTGAACCCAAACGATCTTTAGGAGGTACTTTCTTATCACCTAAGCGGTCTTTAACACTTGTCTTCTCCACACCCTTAGAATTTGGTGCTTCGAACTTTGTTCTTGTCTTTTTGAGTTCTACCAAGTAGCCATTGCCTAAATTCCCTAGACAAAGGAGGAGAAATTCTATTGGAGACAACTTCC